TGTTTTGCTCAGCCTGGGGAGGAAGATGAGGAGCTGCTACTTCAGACAGAGATAATTTCCTACCTTAGCCATGTCCAATTGATGCTGCATGGCACACTGAGGTGAAGGTTGGGGCTGTGACCCTGACCTGTTCTTACTCCCCTGCACTAGGGTGACCATTTTTCAAAAATGGAAAGATGGGACACAAGCCCATCTCCCTCCCCCCCCGCCCCTCCGTGTGCAATGGCACAGCTGGAGCAGGGCCAAACCAAGCCTATGTGGGGTGTGGGTGAATGCAGGCTGCCTGCTGTGGGCTCGGGACTCCTTTTCTTTAGGCTGAAGAGTCCGAGATCCCTCAGCCTCTCCTTGTATGGCTTGCCATGCAAGTCCCATGTCATATGGGTGGTCCTTCTTTGGACCCTCTCGAGCTTTAGCACATCCTTGTTGAAGTGTGGCGCCCAGAAATGGATGCAATATTCCAGCTGCAGCCGCAGAGTAAAGCGGAAGAATCACTTTGGTTTTACTGGAGATGCATCGGTTTATGCATGCCAGAGTTGTATTGGCCCCAGTGGTTACTATGTCACATTGCCGGCTCATATTCATGCTGGGATCTATTGTTACCCCCAGATCCCTTTCATTTATAGTGCTGGTCAGGTTAGTGTTGCCCAGCCTGTAGGTGTGCTGGGGGATCTTCCTTCCCAGATGCAGCACTTTGCATTTCTCTACGTTGAACCTCATCTGGTTCCGTTCTGCCCCACATGCCAGCCTGTCTAGGTCTGCTTGTATCTGCAGCCTATCTGCGGGTGTGTCTGCACAACCCCATATTTTAGTGTTGTCCGCAAACTTGGCCAATGGGCTTTTCACCCCCTCATCCAGGTCGTTGATGAAGATGTTGAAAAGCACTGGGCCAAGTACTGACCTGGGGTCCGCTGCTGCCCATATCTCACCAGGACAACACCGATCCATTAATTTGGACACTCTGTGTCCTACCCCGCAACCAATTTCACACCCGCTTGACAGTCCCACAGTTGGGCCTGATATCTTCCAGTTTTCTGATCAGTATCTTGTGGGATACCAGGTCAGAGGTATCCTGGGAGCCCCACTCTGCCATGGCAAGGCACCCTTTGCCCATCTGGTAGTAGCAGGGGGCACAACTCCACAGCATTGCCCCTGCTGCTGCCTGGTGGGCAGGGGGCGTCACACCATGGTGATGCAGCCAGTGTGGGACTCCTGGTAGTGGCAGCACTGAGCCCCTCTGCCCTTCTGTATCGGGTCCCACCTGCTGAGCCACAGAGGCCTCAGGGGGAGCAGCAAGGCAGGGAGCGCCAAGCCTGCAGTGGGCAACCCACATCCACCCCCACCCCATGCACAAGTCTGGAGGAGGAATGTGTCCCCCCACGCCCCTTCTCCAGGAGTTCATGCAGCAGTGGGGAGTCGCCCCTACCCCCAGTACCCCCTGAATTAACCACTTGTGCTTCCATCGCATGCCCCAGTCAGGCTCTGTGACCACACATTTCTGCCCCAGCCCTGGGCCCCACGTGCTGCCTCAGCTGGGTAGCACCCTCAGCCCCAGCTGCCAAGCCTGCCCCACTTCCTCCCTCACCATGGGGGCCTTAATCTATACCCCCTACCTTTGTTATGCCCCTGCCCTGCATAGACTTGTCTTCAGGGAGCTGCTCTCCATACTCCCTGGCTGTATCCCCAGCCCCCTGCACCCCACTCCCTCCAGCCCCAAACAGCCCCTTGCAGGCTGGAACACTGCCAACCCTCAAGGGGAAATCCACCATTTCCCACATTTTTCTGCGGCAAATGGAAAACCTGGATCCCTGCACATGATACTGGGGATATGGGACAAATGCTGTCCTGGAGTCATTCAGCCCAGGACTGGGACTTGATGTTACCATTTCGGGAATGGCTGCCCAATAAGGGTTGGGTGGTTACCTTACCCGGTGCACTTGCACATAGAGTAGGGGGTAGAAGGGATTCCTACTGCTCTCACCATGCCTGAACATCATCACAGTATATCCGACATGACTGTGCAAAGGGTGTGGACTTGAATTGCTCCAACAGCCTGTGTGGCTTGCTTGTAAAGAACCAAAGCTTACTATTACTCTATGGCTTTTTAAGGGAAATCATGGGCCTTAGCCTGCTGCCACTGAAATCAATGGCAAAACATTTCAGGATTTCACTCTGACTTAATGGGAGCAGGGTCAGGCTCTGGGTTGCCAGCTTTGCAGTATTGCCAGCCCTGGGCATTCAGGCATCAGGCATTCTTTTTTTTTGTTTTGTTTTGAGAAGGGAGCAGGTGAAGCAAATCTTTTGGTTGGGTTGTGTTTTTTGTTTGTTTGTTTGGTTGGGTTTTTTTGTTTAATGTTTTTTTTGATTTCTGGGATTTTAGTGGCCACACATTCAAATTTATTGCAATCATGAAGGACAGTAGCTTTTTAAAAAACATACCTTTTTTGAAAAACATGAAAACTGAAAAACATGAAAAACTTCTGTTATCCACATGACTTCAGGAACAAAACTCTGAAGATACCAGTAAATACTTTAAAAAGTCAAGTCCCTGGATTATATTCCCATCTAGGGGCCTGACCTGAGAGGAGAAGGAGAGTTTGCAAATACCTGGTACTGCTTACTTTGAAGTGTAAAAGTCTTTAGAGCTCTTCAAAATCAATCTAAGGCCATGAATAGAGCATTAAAAAAAATAAACCTAAAACCAAAATATATGAAACCAGGGTATCTAAACACACACTTAACTCCTAAATGTAAATTGCTTGATTCCATAAGTGCTGGGCATGAGCAGGATGTAAAACAGCGTCGAGTTGTTCTTTTGGGGACTAAATAGTTCTTAAATATTAATGGTTGTTGAGATTTGATTTTGCTTAATGTCCACTGCATAAACTGAGCTGGCATCTTTTGCATATTTTTCTTTCTGATGCTTGCATTTCCCTGTAGCAGGGTTTTTTTTAACTTCTCCTTGATTACAAAAAAAGTGACTGAAAGAAACAAAGATCTGAGAACCAAAACTCCCTATTGGTTAGCCTGTACTTATTTTTAACACTATGAGAAGTGGGGCTCACTAGGCATCTAACAGCTGTTACAGAAGAAAGCACCATCTAAAATTTAGATAGGAAACCTTTCCAGATAACATGTTATATAGAGGGAGAGACAGAGGGACAAGTTCTGTTCTGACAAAGATGCAACTCCACTGATTACACTGATGTTTGCACGGGTGTGACAGACAGCAGTGTTTAGTCAAAAAAAGGGCAAAAGGGAAAGTGGATGTAGGTGTGGCTGACACTCATCCACCCCCTACCTCAATAGGGAAGCCTCTCATGGAGGTACTTGCTATATCCAAGCCTGATGCTCTTTTGCACTATCTCAAAACAAATCTGTGCTCACCCCTGCTCTTCTTGAAGTGCAGGACAAAACGCACAGTCTTTAACTGGTGCAGAGCCAGGACCACAGTTAGCAAGATCTGCAGTAAGATAAGAGCACGTGAGTTAGCTTCTCTAGAACACCAAGTGCCCAGTGCATACTTCACTGACAATATCTTAAATGTGGCTCAGCCTGGTAGCATAGGCTGGTGAGTAGGGTGGGATTTTATTGGGATCTACTCCTGGCTTTCTCCCTCTAACTTACTTGGTTGTGCCTCCCTTTTATCATCTGTCAAATGGGCAGCAATTGTATAGTCCTTTTGTAAAGGCCTTTGAGATCTATGGATGAAAACCTCGATGCAAAGGTGCTGTATAAGAACTTTTTAATCATAAAAATGGGGTTTTGTGTGTGTGCATGCATGTGTGTGTTTTCTAGAGATCCAGGGTATTTTAAAGTCTTTATCAGAGAGTGAATTAACATCCCAAACAAGTGCCAATAAAAGCTTTATACTACACAACACCAGCCTCTATTGCAAATTAGCCATAGGTTATAGTTAGGTATGGAAAACCTATCTGACAAATATTTTGGAGAGTGTTTTCATTGTATTTTCTTTCATCTGTAGCCAGGTTCTTCAGCCCTGACTGAGTCAATCTTATTAGGAAACCTGCAACTCCTGGGCTTCTGTCAAGGCAGAAGCTGGGCTCAGTAACCGTGGGGGTGCCTTCCAGTCCTGTGTTCCTATGAATCCAAAAATAAAGATGTTAGAAGGTGAAGGAATGTACTGCTAGTAATGCTGAGGCACTTCAGGGAATGAGCCAAATCATATATGAGGGGAAATACCAGTGGGCAGGGCTCTGGAGAGATGTTCAGGAGGAAGCTGCAGTGCTGTTCTCAGCTCTGCTCCTGGCCTGCTGCCACGTCACTTCTTTGTACCCTCTTACACTTCCCACTCTTTGAAATGGGACTGGCTCTTTATGTGCTTGTACAGCACCTAACACAGGGAGGCTGTAATTCTAAGGCTTTTGTGTTACACTGTAATAGTAGCCCAAATAAGTGGTTTTATAGTCTGATTTATCAGGACTAGAAGCAGGACCCATGTCCCCTTGCTTACTGGGGAATGATCCTGTCTCATAGAAACACAGAACAGTATGGCTGGAGGGAAGTCATCTAGTCCAACCTACGCTGAAGGCAGGATCATCCATGACTAAAGTCATCTCATGAACAGAGAGGTAGTTAGCAATGTTCATTTGAAGTCAGGCATCTGATCTTACAGAAGCTTATCTCTGGTTTAGGTAGTCTATAAGATACAAATCTATCCTGTCTTCTGCTTAAATCATCTCAGCTAAGTGTCTTAACCATGTCTCATGGTATAAAGCTCAATGTCCTAGCCCAGCGTGTTACTATAAAGGCATCCTCAGTCCAGGAATGAATAAGGTGCATAGCTTCCTGTCAGCTTTATGATATTGTTACTTCCTCACAAACCAGCCAACTAAAGCCTGTAGCAATTATTCAACCCATCTGTACGGATTTGAAAGAGCAAAACTGTTTTTTGAGCATTTGACCAACTGTAGTGTCTGGTTTCAAAACCTCCAACCACATCTTACACCAGTGTTAGTGTGAGCAGGCTGGACTATTTATTTTAGGAAACAAATAGCTCTGTCATTTGCACATACTCTTATAGGCAGATGACACCCCTCTAACCCACGTTCTTCAAAAGAAGAGAAAGCAGGATGAAGATCTCTTTGTTACTGTGGGGAGCCCTGGCACTTTTCTTGGGGGCCATTCTTGCGGCAGGTAGGTGAGAAATGATATGAAGGCAATTGAGAATCATGTTTCAAATATAAATCTTACATTTGAGCAACTCTGCTGAACAGCCATATACTGTTAATGGTCTTAACAAATAGACAAAATCAAGGCTCAGTCTGCTAGAGCAGGAGCCAAAGCCCGGGAAAGTCAGACTTTAGTGGACTTTTGGTGGGAGTCTAAGTCTTTGTCTTCACCACGATAGTGGGAAGTTTTAGATTCCCGTTGCAACTCTAAGAGTGATCACTAGCAACTCAATAATCTCTTATTGTAGAGATTCTGGAGCATTAAACAGAGAATCCATATGGTTGCTCTTCCTCCCAGATCTGAAGCTGACAAACAGGACTATTCTTAGCTAGAATTAAAGGCATCTTAATGTTTCTTTATGCATGTAACTGACTGCTACAAAAGGGCCTGATTCTGATCTCATTCTAGTTTTACACCATACAAACCTACATGGAGCTACTCCTGATTCACACTAGTTAACTGAGATCTGAATCTTGTCCACATAGATGAAAATAATTGAAAGAGAGTAATTGTTGACTATTTTGATGCAATTTAATAACACAGTGGTGTAGCTTCAGTTACACTAAAGTGGTTAAGATTCACTGGGCAAAATTCTGACTTATGTTTTACCTGACTGAGAACAGTACTCCCCTCATGACCCACTATGTCCTATGTTTTCTCTAATTTCAGTAAGCATTACGGTTTGCGTGATGGGGTGGTTGGTTAACAGTATTGCTTTCCATGAGGTGTAATAGTGTATGCACAATTCACAGGGAAGTCAGTGGGAGTAAAGAGCATCTTTGGGAACGTGATTTGGCCCCTTTACTTCACAATTAATGCATTTGGATCAAATTAAATCTTTTCTTGCTTTAATAACAAAAATAGCTTAAAATTCAACGGCGTGGGAGCACCAGTTTGCACTTTATTTGCACTTTAATATGCTGCAGTTGATTATTCATTGATTTTATAGAGTCCTGTTCCCATATAATGTGGCAACTTAAAAGATAACCCACTATTCAAAAGAAATGTTTAATCAAAAGCAGCTTTTTATGGGAATCCATCAGGAAAGAAGTGTTATTGTCCATTGATCCAACTATGGAATATTTGTCCAACCTGCAGCTAATTAGGAGAACATTAGCAGAGTTCATAGGAACTGTTTTCCTTTCCTTCAGTACCTTGTCAGTACATGGAGGTGTTATTTATAAAGCTCAGGTGTCTTGTATGATGACTTATTTTCAATTATGCAATTTGTAAGAAGATTTACATTTCTAGGAATTATAGAGCTCCTATTTGTTAAATACAATTATATTGCTGTTATATGCTTTCTTACACATTTGCAAAGAAAAGTTTTCAGAAATGATGCTATAGTGCATACAATCAGTAGCATAACCGAAGGGGGCAAACAAGGTAATTGCCCCAGGCACCGCCTGTGTGGAGGAGCCCAAAAGGGAGAAAACATTTAAGAGCAGGGGCATTAAAAAGGTGTAACACACTCCAGAGCTAAAAACACTCCTCAGGGAGCTATGAGCCATGCTCATTTCCTTCCTGGTCTAAAACTCTTTGAAGCAAACATTATTTATTAGAAACGATGCTGCCAGTTTTTAAAACAGCAACACACACAGCTGGTTTATTAACTTCAGAGCCCCTTTGTTGATTTGTGTTACAAAGTTTTGGGGTTGTCTCACATTTTGAGCTTACCAGAGAGAACGGCAGCTAAAATCTGTGACTTGCAAGACTCGGGTCTTTGGTACGTATGTCCCTATAGGCTGGCAGATGGCATCAGTCCATGTTAAGACTGCTACAAAATGTGTGTACAGAACTGGGGATCCGTTGAAAACCAGTACTTTGGTAATTTAGAAGATGTTGAGTGTGTGAGTTAAGTCAAAGTAGGACTTAATAGACATGTAAACCTTATATTAGCCCTCTGCACTTGGGTGACTTTTACCCTGATTTCCTATTCCTCCATTTTTTACTAAACACTACAGACCAGCCCAGAAATGTCAACTTCCTTTCAGTGAATTGCTTAGTCTTGGACAATGCCTCAGGATTGTGGAAATTTGGCCAAGTGTCAGAGCTCCCATGCTTAGTTGAACTTAATGTGAGCTCTCTACTCCACTTCTAAATGAAACTTCAACTGTGTTTTGAAACATTGCATTTTACTGAAACTGCTTAAATATCAAAACTTTATTTTGACTCTATTTGAATTAATGTTTTGTTCCAACATTTTCAAAATAAAACATTTTTTTTCAAACAGTCTGCTTTCTTTAGCAATTCACCTATAAGAAAGAGAGGCTAAAAGGGTTAAATAACCTGAGCGGTAAACAGAAAATTTCATTTTGGTAAATAAAACCTACTCTTGAATTTGTTTTAACAACCCGTGCAACAGTAGGACACTGGCAGCCCTTCTCTCCCTACTTTAATTGTGGTAGATTTGAGTGCTTTTGGTGTCTTTGAGTAATATGCCTTGTAGCTGTGCAACAGGGTTGAGTGTATAGTTTAAAAAATAAGTTATACCAGTGGTCAGCAAGCTTTTGAGGTTGTGGGCCAGGGTGACCCAGTTAAGACTAGAAACAAGAGGGGGGTGCTTGGTATTACCTAGCTACTGCTGCCACTTTTCTTCATCATGGCAGAGGAAAATGACTACCACTGAAGCCTTCCACTGCTGAATGCCACAAAGCCCCACATCTGCAGGACTGATCAAATGGCTCTGCAGGACAGATATGGCTTGTTGGGCCATAGGTTGCTGACCCCTGGGTTAGAGAAGGACTTGTATGAGATGGTTTGGATAGGGATGATCCTGCCTTGAGCAGGGGGTTGGGACTAGATGACCTCCTGAGGTCCCTTCCAACCCTACTTTTCTGTGATTCTATGATAAAACATTTTGTGGGGTTGATCCAAAAAACATTTTTTTTGATTGAAGAAAAAAAAAGAATTCTGCTTATGTTTGATCCCGATATCTATTTTCCTGAAATTTTGTATCAGATGTTGTACTGGGAAATCCCCCAGCTCTATTCAGGAGCTGTACAAATGCCAAAATGCTGCCCAAAGGGTTCAGAACTGCCACTGGGCAATGGATACTAAATGAGCCCTCTCCGTCTGTTTTACAGGAGCAGTTGTGAAACAGGAGGCCCAGACTGGTTCTGACTATATTGCCAATCATGCCTATTTTTAGAGGGCACTATCACTATAACAGCAGGCAGAAGGCAGATGGGAACCAGTTCATTTCCAGTGTCAGATGGTGGCTGATAAACAGCCTTGTGATGGCAGCATTATTCAGACTTCGCTGTGCCTCTGTGCTTCATTTGTATCACAGTGTGGTGTAAAACACTGTTTCCTGTGGAGCAGAACACCTGGCTTGGCTGTAATTGAGGCATAACACAAGGACGTCCTTTCTCCTGCTTTGTTTCATGTTTCTCCAACTTTTTCCACGGACCTCTCATTAGTGGATTCATCCCCTACTGCCTCCTTCTTCCTGTCTGACCAAGTAGTAGGTGCAGGCCACACCACGTTTGAGACTGGGAAGAGAGAAAGAGGCTCAGTTTTCTCAGGAGGACTATGCACCAGCCTTGACAACAATCAGATCGTGAAGAGAACCTGAAGTACATTTCATCCTTGTGCTCTGTTGACAGGATACCTGGGAATAGATATCAAGTCAAGCAAATGACAAGACTTTTCTCTCTCTTTCTAACTCATTCTGTGTTTTGGCAGGTTACGAGGATGAGGAGTGGGAAGAGCATGTCCTGGTTGATAACAAATGTCAATGTGTCCGGGTGACCTCTAAGTTTGTCCCTTCCAAAGACAATCCTCAGGAAGAAATCTTGGAGAGAAACATCCGTGTCATGTAAGTGGCAGACAAAACTTTATTTTGAGAAGGTAAAGCTGAGGCGGCATGTCACAGCCAGCTCCTTGTTTTTGTATCTGCTCAGCATATTAGTTATGGGAGACCCAAGAAGTTTTCCTTGTGGCCTGCTCTTCATGCAATAATTCAGATTCTATTAGCTCTCATCTAATTCTCTCATGGCTTATGGCACATAGAGGCAAGTGACCCATGTCACACCAAATGGATCTATTTTACCAGCTGAATTACATTTGCATAACGTATATCCCCCTCCTTACAAACAGTGGTTCAAGAATATTTAAAGGGTTAGAGTAGCTCTTTAAAACATGCTGTGAAGGAGATAAGAACAGCATTTCCAGTGCTCATATTAGGGACACTGTCTAGCTCAGAGCATAGGATCTGACAATCCAGAATAGACCCCAGGTCCAACAGACCAGCTACTGTCTTATCCCTGGGAAAGGATTAATGCCTCATGTTTCAGGGAAGGCCAAACCCCTGGCTACAGTTAGGTAGTTGCCAGCACACACTGGGCACATCTACATGTGCGAATTTACTGTGCAGTAACCAAAATTACTGTGCAGTATGGGCACGCATCTACATGTGCCTGCCTGTACTGCGCAGTAAATATGGTGACTTACGCCGACTTGAGTGTAAATTTGATACCTGCATCATGCAGCTATCAAATTTACGCCTGATTAGTTATTGCACAGTAACACATGTGTAGACACCTTACTGTGCAGTAACACTGTGTGTGTGGACTGACTTGGGACTAACTTTAGTCCCAAGTCTGACCACGCACAGCATCAGTGCACTTTAATGCCTGTACGTGTAGACGCTGGCCTATTCCTGCTTATTGTACAGTAATTTACTGCACAGTGAATTTAAGCTGGTGTAAATGCATGTGTAGACCCACCCACAGTGTCTGAATTTGCTTTCACATAAACCTCCCACTGAGGTGGTGGGGAGGAGGGGAGGCATGTTGGCTGAGAAGGCAAGCTTGAGGTCAGAGGAGTTTAAGAGCACTAATGAAACTTTATTGTTGAAAAAGGCTGTGAATCATGAGCGTTGGTGAGTCTAGGCCTCTATCTACTTAGACATGCCCGGATATAACTCCTGTCATTGGCAAGACTTATGGCAGTTGTTAAATTACTAGTATTTCAACAGTTCGCCGTGCTTTGATATCCTCTAGTCTTTCCATGGTGGTCCCTAGCAGTGGCGTAGAAAAAATCTACGTTGTGGGCACATGGAAGCTAAGCTCAGGTCTAACACATAGCAAGCAAGTATTTGAAGTTTTGTTGGGAGCAGAAGTGGAAAGAGATGAAAAGATCTGTGCATAAAACAAGATAAGAACTTGGCTTCAGCCATATCAGGATAATTCATTGTGCAGTTTGCAGATTTCACCTGAATAATTCTCAGGAACTTTTATGATTATCTTTTCCCTCACCTTCTAGAGTCCCACTGAAGAGCAGAATGAACATGTCTGACCCTACCTCTCCACTGAGAACCACTTTTGTCTACCGACTGTCTGAACTGTGAGGAATTTTCTTTACTGCATTCATGTTGTAACATTACCTCTCCATACCATGGACAGACAGGGAAGTTATGGCAGAGGGTCAGTGGCTGGGCCAAGGTTATACAGGAATTCTGCAACAGGGCTTGAGAACAGACCTCAGTTTTCCTAACCCCCAGTCCTGCATCCTGGTCAGGACAGGGTCTTTCCTCCTGAGATAACGAAATCCTACATTTCTTAATTCAGGGTATGGCTAAAGACAGACAACATTGAAAATCCCTTTATAAACTGTTATTTTTTGTGAAGACTGCATTGTAAATGTACTGATTTCAGAGTTGCATACTATCATGACTTTCTCTCAGGTTTCACAGCACTTGAAGTTTTACTTAAGCCTCAGAAGGCAAGTGCTTATAGGAAAATCACAGTTTCATTTTACATGAGAGCATATAGACCCTCATATTGCAGATAAAGTCCTACCATGACCCTGGCTCATTCTGAAAGCTCAAAACCAACATGGCATGTATTGGTTGTCCAGTGACTTGTGAGGGTTTCCCCCTACTGCCGTGTGCAGCCCAAGATAATTTGGTGGCTGGTCCTAAGCTCTAGAAGGCAGCAGAAGCTGCCTGAACATATTTGTCAAGGTAGCAGTGAGGACTCAAGGCTCCTCAGTGCTGCAGCCTCTTTCCATGACTAACATATACCCACTCAATCTGTCTTTCAGCTGCAAGAAATGTGATCCCACGGAAATCGAGCTGGGCGGCCAGATAGTTACTGCTCAGCAAAGCACCGACTGCAGCAAATCAGATACGTGCTATACCTATGACAGGAACAAGTGCTATACCACAACCTTCCCATTTGCCTATGGTGGTCAGACCAAGAACATTGAAGCTGCCCTCACACCAGCATCCTGCTATGCCGATTAGATCACTCCAGTGCTGCCATGCTGCCTGTTGAAACTATGCCCTTCCCCACAAAAATACTTTTACATTAGTGCCCTATTAGCCAGAGAAACTGCGTCAGAAATATCAGGGTAATGCAGCGCCTGTTCCTGACAGTTAATGATCTTCATGAAAAAGGTTGCTGTCTTTCCATGGTACTTGTTGGTGATAAAAGATTCTTGTGTTACTTCCCTGGCCACTTGTTTCAAAATAAATAATTAAACCAATTATGCTTTGGGAGCAAACTCCCACACTGTGGGCCAGATGCTCAGCTGGTATAAATCAGCAAGATTCCACTCCCATGCAGTGGATCTATACCAATTTATGCCAGTCGAGGATCTGGCTGTAACATCATTTGATCCCTTGTTAAGCAAAACTGTCAAAGAAGTCAATGGGACTTTTGCTACAATAGGGGATGCAGGACTTGGCCTTCTCAGTGCATAGGAACAGTGTATCCAAGGCAGCAGGCAAGCGTTCATATTCAGATTTCTCTCCTCTTTTCCAAAGCAATTTTTCCAGTATCTTAGTTATATTAACTTAGAGAAGACCTTTAGCTCAGAGAGTTAATGCTACTACACATAAACTCTAGACCAGTGCATAATTTGAAGTAGCCTCTTTTTTGTATTCCTTTGGAAAACCCCAAATGATTTTACATAATCTAAAATAATCCTTTGCAAACTTTAACCAACAGTATATTATATTACAGTTTAATTTTCAAAGTTAGCAGATTTGGTACTATCATAAACCAAATGATATCCCACTATAAGTTAGGAGGGAAAGCAGTAGAGTGGGGCTTGCAAAGACAGGCAGATTTGAATATCTAATTTTCATTAAGTTTTAATGAGTGTCCCAGTCCTTTATGCAGCTTTGAAAAAATCACATCTTTAATATATCCTGACCTGTTTAAAGAAGACTGAGTATGCTGCAGCTCTTAAGTATTTTCAGATAATGCCAAAACACCCAATATTATAGGAAAGATTAATTAATTTTGACTTATATTTTAGAGATCAAGCTACCAACCAAGGGTATTTCACTATTGTGAAATTATCAGTACTTGATCATTATTAATGTTTTTCTCAATTGACTTGTCCCTGTAGAGAACAAATTATTTTTCAGTTTGAACAAATATCTGTGTCCTGATATCTCCATGGACAGATTTCTGGGGCTGCATGGATCTGATGGCAAAAGCTGGGTGCTCGTTAGGGGTTTATTCCAATCTTCCACATCGCTTTCTTTTCTCTTGTTTCTACATGGAACTTCCCCAAAGAGGCTGATATTGTATTGTACATTACAGTGAATGTGTTATACCTGGTATTGTCATTAGACAATCATGTATGCAAGTGCATAAACTGTACAGCATTACATTGAGCCAGGCTGGTACATTCCTCACTGTTTTAAAATTTGGTTGCAGGTCCCTATGCTATCTTTCAGTTTAATTTGTGTTGCAATAAAAATAAGGCAAGAGCTATTTACCTGAAGCTTCAACTTTGTTAGCAAAACATAAGATATTAAATAGATTTTTTCTCTTGCATTTATCTGTGTGGTGAATTTAAATGGCAATAAAGGTAGAAGTCTCGCCTACTGATTTTCTTCTGAACTTCAAAGAGAAGAAGAAGAAAAAGAATTTTCACTATGTCCACATTATAATTAAAGTTAAGTCCTTACAGAATACACGTTAGACATCTGGAATTGCATTGAAGTATTCCTGTGATGGAATTTGCTCAGCCAGAGGACACCAAGATCAGTATCACTTAAGTGGAGAGTGGTGAGTGTATGATTAGAGGCACTATGACTTGGTGTGACTACAATTAAATATACAGGCACTGAGGTCCACCTGCATACTGTATATTGAAGAATCATTGTCTGGCATATTAGAGCTGTATAGTGGAGAAGGGGACCTATAAAAGCCCAGAACAGTGCTGGTGGGAGCTAACACTTCAATAGACCCAATTTGTATGTGGATCAAGATACAAGAGAACATGGGGAGGGTGACTTACTTGTAGGAGTCTACTATAGACTCCCCCCATCAAGAGGAAGACCTAGATCGGGAATTCAATAGGGAACTGGTTGAAACCACATGTTCCTGATGCTTGATCATCATGGGGGGACTTCAGGTTCCCTGACATCTCTTGGGATGAGTGCATGGCCAAATCTGACAGGTCACATAGCTTTCTCACGTGCATCGATGACCTCTGCCTAACCCAGGAGGTCTGTGCATCGACTAAGGGAGAGGCATTATTGGATCTGGTCCTGGCCATGGGGGAGGACCTGGTGAGCAATCTGTGGATCGAAGGGAAGCTTGGTGACAGCAACCATGACTTGGTCACCTTCTTAGTTCACCAAACAGCAGGCAAACCCCTCAGTAAAACAGAGGTCCTTAACTTTGGGAAGGCCGACTTCTGCAATCTGAGAGAATTGGTCAGGCAATCAGAGGTCATACCCCCCCAGAAAAGGGAGTAACATGAGGAACGGTTATTGCTCAAAAACATAATCCTTGAAGCACAGGGCAAAGCCATCCCTTCTTGCAAGAAATGCAGTCAGTGAGCAAGGAAGCCTCTATGGCTGAATAAGGAACTGTTGGACCTCATTAAGCTCAAAAGAGTAGCCTATCCTAGCTGGAAAACAGGAAGCATTACCAAAGAGGATTATCCTGCACTCACCGGCACCTGCAGAGAGCGATCAAGAAAAGCCAAGGCAGAAACTGAACTTAGGCTAGCTACAGGCATAAAGGACAACAGAAAATCCTTCTTCAAAATTGTGGGAAGTAGAAAAAAGAACAAGGACAGTATTGGGCCCCTGAGAGATCCAAAGGAGCAACTGACATCAGATGCCCAAGAAAAGGCCAATCTAAATCACTTTTTTGCATCCGTTTTTTCACCCTCCCAAGAAGATCACACTGCCAGGAATGGCACAAAGCAATTCGGGATTGGGTGACGGGCCCAAAATCGATGTGGATCAGGTGAGGGAACACCTTGGGAAACTGGACATTCATAAGTCTGCAGGCGCAAATGGAATGCACCTAGGGGTCTTGAAAGAGCTGGCAGACATCATTGCATCCCCCTTGGCAGGGATATTTGAAAAATTGTGGCGCTTGGGCGAGGTCCTGGATGACTGGAAAAGAGCCAATGAGGTCTCTATCTACAAGAAAGGGAGGAGGGATGACTTGCAGAACTATAGACCAATCAGTTTGACATCCATCCCTGGAAAAATCCTGAAGGAAATTGTCAAGGGATCCATCAATGACAGACTAATAGAAGGCAAGCTTCTGAATGCCAGCCAACATGGCTTTGTGACTGGCAGGTCTTGCCTGACCAACCTCATCTCCTTCTATGACCACGTAACATATGCCCTGGACAAGGGAGATGATGTGGACGTCATATATCTGGACTTCAAGAAGGCCTTTGACCTAGTTCCCAACGATGTCCTCATGGTTAAGATGGGGAACTGTGGCCTTGATCATCTTATGGTCCAATGGCTAGGCAACTGGCTACGGGGTCGGACCCAAAGAGTACTAGTTGAAGGGAGCAAATCAACATGGCACAGGGTTACCAGTGGAGTCCCTCAGGGCTTGGTACTTGGGCCAGTACTCTTTAACATTTTCATCAATGATCTAGATTCGGGAGTCAGATGTGAACTGGCCAAATTCATGGACAATGCCAAATTATGGGGGAGGGCTGTCACACTGCAGGACAGGCTTGGAATACAGGCCGACTTGGATACATTCTCAAGGTGAGCTGACCAAAACTGGATGGCCTTCAATGCAGAGAAGTGCAAGGTGCTGCACCTCGGTAGGAAGAACCCTCAGCATACTTATAGGCTCAGCAGTGCTATGCTTGCTAGCACCACGACCAAAAGGGACTTGGGGGTCTTGATTGACCACAAGATGAATATGAATCACCATTGTGATGCGGTGGTGGGCAAAGCTAACCAAACTTTGGTGTGCATCCACTGATGCATCTCAAGCAAATCCAGGGAAGTCATCCTCACACTTTACTCAGCCCTGGTGAGACCACAGCTGAAGTACTGCATCCAGTATTGGGCCCCCCACTTCAGGAAGGATGTGGAGAAGCTTGAGAGAGTCCAGAGGAGAGCCACTCATATGATCCACGGCCTGGAGGGAAGGCCATATGATGAGAGGCTGAGGGACTTGGGACTCTTCATTTTGGAGAAGAGAAGGCTCGGGGGGACTTGGGGGCCGCC